AATTGATTGCAATTCATGTAAAATCAGTGATAAAATGCTAAACAATTGTCATATTATTACTAAATCTGATGATTATTTTTACTGTTTTTGGCCTAAATGTCAATTCAAGACAACACGAAAGAATGATTTAAACCAACATCAATTAAGTCATTCAGGAATAAAACAATTTAAATGTGATTTTAATAATTGCAATAAAGTTTTTACACAAAATGCTTCATTATTTAATCATAAAAATAGCATACATTTAAATGTGAGATTTATTTGTGATTTCAATGAATGCCACAAAAGTTTTAAACAAAAATCACATTTAATTCAACACAAAAGTTGTGTTCATTTAAATGAAAGAAAATTCAAATGTAATGAAAAAAATTGTGGCAAAAGTTTCGCACAGAAATCACATCTAATTACACACAAACGCATACATTTGGAGGAAAAACCATTTGTTTGTGATATCAATGAATGTCACAAATGTTTTACAACAAAGCGGTCTTTAATTCAACACAAAAGTTGTGTTCATTTGAAAGAAAAAGATTCAAATGTAATGAAGAAAATTGTGGCAAAAGTTTTGCACAGAAATCAAATTTAATTCAACACAAACGCATACATTCGGGAGAAAAGCCATTTGTTTGTCATTTCAATAATTGTAACAAAAGTTTTTCATAATTGTCGAGTTTAACCAATCACAAAACATTTCATAAGTAGTTAAATATATTTTTATACAATTGTATTATATTTGTATAACATTATTTACAATTATTAAAACTTAAGATCTACTTTTTATTAAGAACTTTTTATCTTGTTCATTAAAAAGCCAATGTCAACTTTATCATTTAATTAATACTGAAAATTAACATAGGTTTATATGCTATTAATAATTTTTAAAAATTATATAAAATCTAATTATAAAAGCATAAAAATTTAATTAATCAATATGACAGCCATGTGTTACAGAATATATTATTTCTCTATGTAAATATGATATTTATATACAGTAAATAAAAATATATCCAAACAATCAACAAAATAATAATTTTAAAAATGAATTCATTAAATTATTTTATACATTATACTAAACACCAAATAATTAGTATTTTAATTATTTCTCTAGACTTTAAATTATGGTAAGTTAGACATTGATCCAAACAAATACTCTCAATTAAAACAACATTACTTTCCCGACTTAACAGTGGGTGCAAAATGGATGTAGTGGTGGACATGTCTGGTGTGACCGACATTAAGGTAGAAAGTTTGACCGAAATTGTGATCATCATAATTGTGGCCAACGTATGCTTTATTATCATGTGTTGCGGTTGTTGTGCACTAATGGTGTGGATGTGCTTAAAGACAGGGGAAAGGGTGGCAGCAAATAGGAGACGGTGGCAACAAAACAGACTAAATTGGACCCAAATGGCTAAAACTGGTCAAATTAACATGGACGTTTAAATAATTGTCATTAAAACACTAAATATTAAGCCGAATAAATCATTATATTTACGGTATATGCACTTGTATTTACGGTATATGTAATTTTAATATTTTTGAACATGAATTAACAATACGATAAAGATTTTTAAATGAAAGTTTTATTTATAAAAATGCCAGGTTGAATTTAAATTAGCCAAAATTGATCAGCTTAATTTGTTTGTTAAATTATTTTATTATTTATCAATAAAAACAGATTAAAATCTCATTTTATTGACTCTAACTCTACCGCACGATTACGCGACTCATCGCATGTTTTATCAACATTTTTATCGCGATTTGATTCAAAAATAACATTTGAAAGCCTAGTGTATAACGCAATGAACGGAAACTCAAACCATAGGCTGAGGGGAATCATAACCAAAAAGCTAATAAACATCCATAATATTGAGTAAATCACAGCCAAAGGCAAGGTTTCGTATTTGGGCTCAAACTGCGGCATAAGTGGCGACAACCAGTAGGCGAGCACCGGGTGTAAGAGGTATGAGGTTTGCTGTATTGTGCGTATGGGTCGCCAATACCGCGATGAAAATACTCTATTTATAATACCATTGTTTTCCATAAGAAATGTAAACATGTAGATTAGTATCAGGGACACAACTGTGCCCGATATACTGTGTTCAAGCGCTGAAAACACCGGTAGGTCACCGAAATAGTCGGACCGTCGCATAAATATGACCGTAAATGATAGGGCGATATATAAACATAATATTGTGACGATTGTACGCGCCGTACGATTGCGGTATATGTGGGAAACGTAACCCTTTTCGATACAATAGCCAAATAGTAAGCCATTCATAAACGCCGGGATATAACGGTATGTGGTCACGTGCAGCGATTGAAACGTACTAGGTTTAACTCTGTTATTGAATTGAGTGTAATTAATTTAAATGTTACATGATAAATTATATCAACTAATATATTTACAAATAAAAATTTAGTGGCATTTTTGTGGCTATAAAAACGTCCGCAAAATTTTCAACATCGATGCCATTCGAGTACATTATTTGAAATACTGATACAATTGACAATAGGTTAGCCAATACAATAATAGCAAGTCCATATTTTATGTTCCTATATAAATTATTTAACATGGTTATTTTTGTGCAAAACTCTTAATGTTATAATACTTTACTTAATTATTAGTAAAACAATAGGCGGTGTAAATAATACTAATTGTACCAGTACACAAAGTGTCCAGTGATGCATCATGCACTATTGCAAAAATATAAAATAGTTTACATTGTGTTTATACTGAACGGCATGTCATCCATGATATGGTTTATGAGAGTTGTGGACAAGTGTGCGAACCGGACATTAGCCGCGATTAGTGTCCGGTATGTCGTC